TCGGGGCACAGAATAAAATGAATTTCATTTATGACAACTTTTACAAACACAATGTCACATTCTCTCTATTTAAATGTGTTCACCCTTGAACTGTAGGTAGGCCTGACCATTTCCAAGTCTACCTTTTGGTCAATAAACATTCTAGAAGTAGAAGTTGCCTTGAAAATGTCCCCATCTCAGTATGGCAAGAAGTTACACTTCCCCAACAACTAATGAGAGAGGCTGTATAGTACCTGTAAAGAGTGTGGACTCTGGAGTCAGACTGGGCTGAAATCCCTTCCTGCCCTTAGAAGCTGTGTAACACTGAGGAGTTACTTTACTTCCTGGCACCTTAGTTTTCCTATCTGGAAAATGGGACATGATAGAGGGCAACTTACAGAGTTGTTATGAGGATCAAATGAATCAATATATGCTTAGAAAGTGCTAGAACTTATTAAATACTCCAAAATGTTAACTGTTATTATTATTAGCTCTACAGACTCAGAACTCCCAGAGGCAGGGGGCAGGGAAAGGGGCAAAGGAGAAGGTAGGGTATGACACCTCCATTTGCCCTCATGTCTATAGGTGGGGGAGCTGGCTTGTTTTTTGGGGTCTTTGGAGCCAGATATGGGAGAAAAGTGCAGATGTATTACCAAACTATAATCCTAACTGCTGTGGTCTCAGAGAGATTTAATAAGGCAGTACATTTTACATTCACCCCTTGCTGATTAGCCACGGTAGGGGAATTCCAGTGTATTAGGTAACTCCCAAATTGCCCAGATGTCTGCTTTTTTTAAGTCCCGTTTTTTTAAAGCTGCTAATTAGGAAGTCATTCCAGCTATAGTATATATATATATATATATACATATAAATGTATATATGCATACATACATATGTAGTCATTTATATTATTTCTTTGCTTCTGTAGTGAATCTCAATGTTTAACAATTTTGCAATTTATAGATACTGCTTGTCTTTTTATTTCCCCATCTTCTGAGTTCATGATCCCCTCCTAACACTAGCTAGCCATTTCTGATCATGGCATTATAAAAATTACATGAATTAAACTTTATCCTATTTTTTTTTAATATGAAAATTTCTCCATGCACCTCAAATTAGTCAAAGATATGTCACACATAGTTTTCAGACTCTGGGGCATGGCTTAATGTAAATCTTTGACTAATGCTTGTAATTGGACAGAATCTTCCCTGAGTCTTGTTCATTGTGAATCTTTGGAAATTGGCACCAATTCTAAAGGGGAAGAGATATAAAATAATAAGGTTGCTCATTTTCAAAGCAGTTCCCCCAGCAACTGTCCTCACCTCTAGTCTCACATCTTTTCCTTGAGTGGAAGCAGTCAACATCCAGGGCAGTGATGAAAACACATTGAGTGGGGGCCCGACTCAAATCTTAAGGGAGAATTTTACCATCAGGGAGAAGTATTAGGAATATGTCCTACCATGTCAATGAGATATTTGTGTAGAACAAGAATCCGGCAATATTTTTAAAGGGTGGCACTTGAAACCTCAACTGCAACATAGAGCAGATAAGCAGGGAATATTTACATAGTGACCAAGTAGTGAATTTTCATTATTAACTAATGAACTTCATTGATGCAGGTTATGTGCTTGTGTCTCAATCCCGATAAAAGAGTTTGCTAGGGTGTGTCAGAGATATGGACATGGCCTTTTTCAAAGTGATTGTTCTGGAAAGAGATTTCCACACCTTCAAGTTAACTGACTATAAAGGGTAGAAGTTGCACCAGGCAGCCTCACTTGCTCCAGCACCTTCTTCCCTTCAGGCAAAATGAAAATCCTTGTGAGTATGTGTTTATGCTTCTTTATTCTCTTGCAATGTCTGCTTGCAGAGAATGTTCATATCCAATATGCCTTCGGTTCCAGAGGTCTTTGACAAACTGTTCATGTGCTAGGTTTCTGTGATTCAATTAAATATGGTCTTTGGAAGGAAAAGTGTTGAATATTAAGTCAGATATTTATTTGTTTACTGTCTATTTTTTGAGATGTTTATTAAAATATACAAGGAAATGATTCTGGAAATATCTAGAGAGTTTGAATTTAGAGGATTTTTAATAATGATTCGTTATTATGAGCTTTGAAGGGAATGTAGGCATTTTAGGACAGCAGCATTTACCATCTAAAAGAGAAGTGGTAATTTAAAACTAATAATATCAACAATAATAATAATAAAATAGCAAATGCCATTTCCCATATCAGGCCCTGTGCTATACATTTCACATGAAAGATATCATCTTTTCACCTCAACAGCCCTAAGAGCTGAGTAGGAACCCCATTCGGCACAGGAGACTCAGGCCCAGAGTAATGTGATTTTCCCAAGCCAGTAGATGTGGGATATAGGCCTAAAATTTAGCCATCTTAGGCCCCACTTACAGGACCGATCATGGCAAAGCATTCCTACCCTGCCCTCCCTTCCTCCTCCTCCAGCTGACCGTCTGCATAGTTCCACATGGCAGTGCTCCAGGAGCAGTGGGCTATGTTCTGATCCTGAATGGAACTCCTTCCCCCCCCATCTCTATCCCTTATTCTCCTGTAGCTGCAGAGGGAGAAGGCACTACAATAAGTACCTCCCCATCAGGCATCAGCTTGAAGACTTCCCTCTCCCAGGGGTCTCTTGATTTCCCAAGTGGAGACCCAACCTTGAAACACAAACCGGTAACTGTGCTGAATGAGTCACAGAATTAGGTGGGTGGTTACTTGGGGGCAGGGGACACTTCCTGTGCTCTAATTGTATCACTAAGGTGGTTAGCACCGCCCCCCCCAACATGTTCAAAGGCTGTATTAAACCCATTAAATAGAATACACAGGTGTGTCAGAGGGACTAGATCTGGCCTAGAGTCAGAGAAGATGTATCCCTATGTCCCTGTGCAAATAGGCATGTTGTGCATCTGCATGCAGGCCTCTGTTAGACACTCCACACCTGGTCACCAGGAGAGAAACGTTGTGGGCAAGGTGCAAGGGAGGAAGAAGAGTCCCACTGCCACTTCTGGAAAACATCCACCTCCCTGCAGAGGCCTGCACCCGCTGTTTTCAGTGCTACTGTAGTATGCTGGGATGTTCAAAAGAGGAAGCACGAAACCTGGACCGGCATGTTGGACAGGACTGTGTAACTGCAGCCAGCTGTCAGCGCTGCCTCAGTGTCAGCCTCATGCCTTCACTAAGGAGAATATGGGGGTTCCTTGATGCCAGTCTCAAAAGCTAATCATCCTACTTTCATAATTTCCATTGGGAACCCATTGTTTCTCTACCACCCGTGAGTCCATTTTAAATCTGTTTTACACTCTCAGTCTCATGGAATTAATTTTCTTTTTTTAAACCAGAGGACACAACTTGGCCCCTGTAATCCAAACCCGGTGTGAATCACGCTAGGGGTTTCCCATAGTCAAATGAATCCTTCCTCACTGCTCAGCAGCCCCAAGTTTTCCCTGGCACCAGAACACATGCTCTTTAGAAGGTAATGAGGTTGGGAAGGTTTGGGAACTGGGTAACAGATGTAGAACCCTGTGCCTGACAAATAGCGTAAACTCAGTAAATGCCTGGTGAATGAATGGCTGTGTTTCACATCCTGGAAACTAAGTGTCGACCATCCATGACTACTTACTATAAAGGGTAGAAGTTGCACCAGGCAGCCTCACTTGCTCCAGCACCTTCTTCCCTTCAGGCAAAATGAAAATCCTTGTGAGTATGTGTTTATGCTTCTTTATTCTCTTGCAATGTCTGCTTGCAGAGAATGTTCATATCCAATATGCCTTCGGTTCCAGAGGTCTTTGACAAACTGTTCATGTGCTAGGTTTCTGTGATTCAATTAAATATGGTCTTTGGAAGGAAAAGTGTTGAATATTAAGTCAGATATTTATTTGTTTACTGTCTATTTTTTGAGATGTTTATTAAAATATACAAGGAAATGATTCTGGAAATATCTAGAGAGTTTGAATTTAGAGGATTTTTAATAATGATTCGTTATTATGAGCTTTGAAGGGAATGTAGGCATTTTAGGACAGCAGCATTTACCATCTAAAAGAGAAGTGGTAATTTAAAACTAATAATATCAACAATAATAATAATAAAATAGCAAATGCCATTTCCCATATCAGGCCCTGTGCTATACATTTCACATGAAAGATATCATCTTTTCACCTCAACAGCCCTAAGAGCTGAGTAGGAACCCCATTCGGCACAGGAGACTCAGGCCCAGAGTAATGTGATTTTCCCAAGCCAGTAGATGTGGGATATAGGCCTAAAATTTAGCCATCTTAGGCCCCACTTACAGGACCGATCATGGCAAAGCATTCCTACCCTGCCCTCCCTTCCTCCTCCTCCAGCTGACCGTCTGCATAGTTCCACATGGCAGTGCTCCAGGAGCAGTGGGCTATGTTCTGATCCTGAATGGAACTCCTTCCCCCCCCATCTCTATCCCTTATTCTCCTGTAGCTGCAGAGGGAGAAGGCACTACAATAAGTACCTCCCCATCAGGCATCAGCTTGAAGACTTCCCTCTCCCAGGGGTCTCTTGATTTCCCAAGTGGAGACCCAACCTTGAAACACAAACCGGTAACTGTGCTGAATGAGTCACAGAATTAGGTGGGTGGTTACTTGGGGGCAGGGGACACTTCCTGTGCTCTAATTGTATCACTAAGGTGGTTAGCACCGCCCCCCCCAACATGTTCAAAGGCTGTATTAAACCCATTAAATAGAATACACAGGTGTGTCAGAGGGACTAGATCTGGCCTAGAGTCAGAGAAGATGTGTCCCTATGTCCCTGTGCAAATAGGCATGTTGTGCATCTGCATGCAGGCCTCTGTTAGACACTCCACACCTGGTCACCAGGAGAGAAACGTTGTGGGCAAGGTGCAAGGGAGGAAGAAGAGTCCCACTGCCACTTCTGGAAAACATCCACCTCCCTGCAGAGGCCTGCACCCGCTGTTTTCAGTGCTACTGTAGTATGCTGGGATGTTCAAAAGAGGAAGCACGAAACCTGGACCGGCATGTTGGACAGGACTGTGTAACTGCAGCCAGCTGTCAGCGCTGCCTCAGTGTCAGCCTCATGCCTTCACTAAGGAGAATATGGGGGTTCCTTGATGCCAGTCTCAAAAGCTAATCATCCTACTTTCATAATTTCCATTGGGAACCCATTGTTTCTCTACCACCCGAGTCCATTTTAAATCTGTTTTACACTCTCAGTCTCATGGAATTAATTTTCTTTTTTTAAACCAGAGGACACAACTTGGCCCCTGTAATCCAAACCCGGTGTGAATCACGCTAGGGGTTTCCCATAGTCAAATGAATCCTTCCTCACTGCTCAGCAGCCCCAAGTTTTCCCTGGCACCAGAACACATGCTCTTTAGAAGGTAATGAGGTTGGGAAGGTTTGGGAACTGGGTAACAGATGTAGAACCCTGTGCCTGACAAATAGCGTAAACTCAGTAAATGCCTGGTGAATGAATGGCTGTGTTTCACATCCTGGAAACTAAGTGTCGACCATCCATGACTACTTGTCAGTGTCTCTCGGTGTTTATATGAGATATTTGTGCTTGTCCTGTCTAGTGTCCCCTTGTGTCCCCATCCTCAGTGACCACCCTATAGAGAGTGGATGTGACTGGTCTGTTTTTCAGGTGGCATTTCTGGTGGTGGTGGCCATTTTTGGGATACAATCTCATGGATATGAGGTGAGCTGGTTCACTACAGACTTCATATCTTGGAGAGGATATGAAGATATATTGGGAGAGGAAGAGGAAGACACAAGACAATTTGAAGTGGCGTAGAGAATCCACATGCCCTATTTGGGATGGAATCCTAGAAATAACCCAACAACAGAAAAAATGAGGTTGCTTATTTCTTTTCAACTGCAATAACTTAAAAAATGTAACCCATCACACTTTAGATGCAGTCAATCTAATTTTTCCTGTGATGTCATTACTTCTCGCACATGTCAGATAGTAAACTATGGGCAAGAGTTTTACTCTCTTATTTTAGCATAGGCTTTTTGTTTGGCATGCCAGTGGAGAGGTTTCAGGCTTCAAACCCTTGTTCATAGTAAGTTGAGGGCTTTATTTTGCTGGGAGGGTTGCCTTTCAAATGCCTATGATTTATGGAAAAACAATTATGTCTTTGTCATCAATCTAGGTTTTTAACATCATCAGCCCAGTCAAGAAAGGTGCCAGTCTTCAGGAGACAATGACAATTGATAATGAAAAAAATACTGCCATCATTAACATTCATTCAGGATCATGCTCCTCCACCACAATTTTTGACTATAAACATGTAAGTAGCAGGATAGCTTAAAGATTTTTCAAGACTGGGTTTCTAATGGGTGGAGGGTCAGCCATTTGTTATGCATTTGAATTCCAAGATCTTTCCTTGCAATTCTTTCAGAATGTCTTTCCTTCTGCTTTTCTCTTTCAATAATCAATGAAAACACAAGCATAGAAAATCATTTCTAGGGAAAAAGTGTGATGGGAAATACACAAACACATGCTTGACCTTTCCAGTTGGAAATTGGAAGTAGGCAAATACTGTTTCACCACAGGCTCAGAGAGGACCTGAAAAAGGGACCAAAGTCCAAACAACACCTGGCACATAGACTCTCCCAACTATGTGTCAAATGAATAAATAAATGAATTAGGGCTTCAATACAAAAATTACGCAGAAAACAAATCATGAAACAAACAATCACAAAATAGCAGGAGTGCAGAACAACTATACACATTGGACTATGTAAATAGCATATGCAATAAATCATACTTCTGTAAGAACCAACATACTTTAACTAAAAACACCAAACTATTTCCAAGTTTCATTTACTGGTATTAACAAGATGTCTCAGAAACCTGCTCAGAAAACTTAGTTCTGTCCTTTGTCCCTTTATTAATCTGTTTGCTTTCCATTTATTCTCCTTGATTACAAGTCTGCTTTTACCTGGGCAGAGCCATGCACTGTGGATATGAACAGATTGTAGGCCATCTCACCGGGCATTGGAACATGCTTTATTTTTCCTTTCCTTAAAGAAACCTCCTTACATGCCCCTTCCTGATTGGTATTGGGCATTCATGACACCTTTCAAAGCACAGAGCTTTGGAATATACAGTTTAAAAGAAGTTGCACTGACATTGCTTTTTTTTAAAGCAGATATCAGGGAAATCCCACAAATGTCTTTAAAAAAATAGAGCGGTTAGGACTTGGTTTAAGCCTCTTCCGTTATCCTCAAGGTTTGCCTCAGTCTATTTTTGAATTTTAGGAACTGGCAACTTGTGAGATCTGAGTAACAGGAACTAGAAGGGTCTATACTGTATCCAAACTTATAGGCTGTATAATTATTTGGAACTCTGTAGAGAGTTCTGCTCTTTATGAATATTACATGACCTTTGTTTCCTTCTGGCTGCAAGGTCCTCACCCTCCAGTGCTCTTCCAATTCCAGTTTCCCCGGCTCATCCACATCCAGCCAGCTTGAGCCTGGGACAGAGAAAGGATGGAGAGAGGATAGAAGGAGGAGCAAATAGATGGAACATGCGTGTGTGTGTGTCGGGAGGTGTGGAGGTGGTGAGGGTGGGTGTGGGCATGTTAAGGAGAGTCTCCAAAGCTGTACAGTCCAGTAGAACTTCCTGCAATGGGGGAAATGCATGTTCTAGATCTACATTTCTCAATACGGAGGTGACTTGCCATTTGTGAATATTGAGCACTTGAAATGTGTGGCAGATAGAGGAAGTACTTTTAAATTTTATTTTGTTTGCTTTTATATGTAAGTAGCCACAGGTGGCTAGTAACTAACACATCCACAGTGCATTTGGAAAGTGCAGTTCTAAAGAATATTTTTTGTACTCTAAACTGAGGAAGAGGCAGAACAAATCAATAGAAAGAGCCAGAGTGGCTTCTTCGCCACCTTTCAAACTCCAAGCTACAGATCCTGGTCCCAAAACATTAAAAGTGGGGTACAAATCACGGGCCTGCATAATTTCAGAGATGGAAATGACAAGTGAAAAAGTAAACACACTCTGTAAAAGAAGGCGGTGGGTGGACTGGCCTGCAGAGCGGAAGGCAGTCACGTGCACTCCCCATGCCTGCCCCGGCTCACCTCAGGCTCACCTCACCGGGCTCAGAACCCAGGGAGCTGGGAGGGACAGTCACTGTGCTCTTGCCGCCTCAGGGCTACATCGCATCCAGGGTGCTGTCCCGAGGAGCCTGCTTCGTCCTGAAGATGGACCATAAAGCCATCCCTGCTCTGGGCCAACTCCAGCGGTACATCTATGAGAAGCAGGTCATTCTCGGGGACCCTTAAATATTGCCTGTTCTTGAACCAGGGAATACTGGTGGTGCCTATAGTGAAATGAAGAGGGTAAGGGAAGAGACCTAATATTATACTTTACTGGAGATATGGTGCTCTCCACTTTATAAAGTGTTCTCAGGTTTACTGTTTTTGAGGGCAGGAGTGTATCTCTTAGCTTGATTTCCACTATATGGTCTCCAATGCAAGAACTTATAATAAATTCCACTGTCTTTGTAGAAAGGACTGAACAGCCTGTCTACTCAGAGCAGGGCTCTACCAAATAATAATTGACAGAAAAATGAGTGAACTTATAATATCCAATGACACAAAGGTGCAAAGAAATAATACATTATATAGAGAATAAACAAACACAGCATGAGATTAGGAACCTGGGGTTTAATCCTCCCTCTTTACCTTTCTGTCTGTGCCTCCTTTGGCATGAGATTCACCCTCTTTGGGTTTCATTGTCACCAGCAGCGAAACAATATTGGTAATAATGAGGTTTCTCTGTGGACCAAGTGGTCAGAAAGAGATGATGTCTTGAGATTCCTGACCTGTTCCTGTTTAATAATCTGAAAGAGGAAAAAGCCACCATTTAGAATGTTACTCCAGATTATGTGACTTCTTTTACCTTATCGCATTCTATTTTACTAATCCAGGCTCTGAAAAAAATGTTCTCTGACAAATACGTCTGGGCCAAGTACAACCCACTAGCGTCTCTGGTCACAGAAGTGAACTGGTTCCTGTTTGGGTCACCCATCAGGGAGCTCTGCAATAATGTCCCCTTGTACAAGGGAGAGGTTGTTGAAAAGACAAGTGAGTACCAATAAGTCATTCCTTCACCAAATATTTTTCAATTGGCTGGGTACTCTGTAAGGTGTATAAAATACAAGTAAATGTGAAACATGACTCCATTTGGCTTACTTTGGGAATTAAACAGCTACCATGTGTGAAATTGTGCTAAAATGTTAAGAAGATACAGAAATAAATAAAACTCTGTCCCTAGGGAACACATAGTCTGATGGAGAATCTGACAACACAGAGGATGGAATAAGAAAAGGTTCCCCGGCTACCAAGGAAAAACTATTAGATTCTCTAATGTCCAGCATGGTGACTATCGTTAATGATACTGTAATGTATCCTTGAAAGTTGCTGAGAGTAGATATTGAGCATTCTCACCACACACACTTGCAAAAGAATTACCTATGTTAAGTATGTGAGGTGCTGGATATAACTATCTTGATCTTGGTAATCATTCTACAACCATATATGTATGTGCAAACATATTATGTCAATTATTCCTCAACAGTTAAAAATGTAAATATTCTCAGAATCTGGGATAGAAATAGTCCAAGAGAAGCCCTGATTCATCCAGGTCACATGTGTCACTGCAGCCATTGCCAGTAACTTTACACAAAGTTTCTAAAGACGGCAGAGAGGCCAGGTCATAGATAATGAATGCAACAGAACAAACTCCCCAGTGGCATGGAAGTTGCCTAAAGAAGAAAATAATTAGCTTTTATAAAATTTCTACCACCCAGAAAAACATTTGATTAGGATATTTTTCTTTTAGTCAGGTCATTAGGACTTACAAGTGGAGACACACAGGCATGCCTCACCGCAGAATGTTGTAGCATCAATAGGATTGAGCCAGAGGGTACTTCCAGGAATTGTCAGTCTTATTTAAGTTAATGTATTATGATCCTTTGCCATGCAAGTATACCTTAATTTTGAAATTACATGAAATTGCATGTACAACTCCTGGTTAAGACATTTACAAAAAGACATTGATTTGCTGTATTCTAATAATATGTTTTCTAATGCTCTTTCTTTTAAAAATTTCCCCCATTTCAGGAATTATCGGCGTTTCAGGCTGTGCAAAGACTGGTCTCCTGGGCGTCTTTGGAATTTCTGTATGTGCAGACATTCACGTTTAGGCACCAGCCCACTGGTTTCATCTTTTCAAATAAGTACACCTGGTTTCCACCCAGCCGCCAAATTTAATTCTTTTCCAATGCTCCAACTCATTTTGACATGCAGTGATAAAACATAAATACTATATTTACAGTTCTCTGGTGTTTGCTTTTTTTGTAAACAGCCAAGGGAAGCCAAAAACGTTTATGTCAATATACAGAAGGAAAGAAACTGCCAGGATTTCAAGTCAAGTGCATAAGGTGTGAAACTTCCCAGATAATATAGCTGAGTCACATACAGGATGGTCAGCTGGGCACAAGTCTCTCTCTGGACCTGCCCTCTAAACCAGCTGACCATCTGTCAGTCAAAACACCTGGGCAGCCTGGGTGGAGCAAGAGCGCAGGAGGGAGTGGCCTCCTGAGGGGGTGGGGTTTGGTATACTTTTATCAGGCAACTGAACTGCTCAGGTGAAGGCAGCCTTCTTGGACAACGCACCCAGCGTGGAGCGTCATTCACTTCCCTTTTTAGGAAGTTCCTTTGACAAACACTCCTGTGATGTATTTTTGTCTCAGAGTGAAGAGAAAGGGAGGGAGGAACACCTGTCACCCAGGGCAAGACGAACCTTCCTGAAAACTTAGCAGGAGTAAGAACCTACCTGGGAAATGCCAAGGCAACATGTTGAAGGAAGCAATTCCCCATATTCCAAATAAATCATGTAATATGAGCAGATTCCCGGGTCACATAGCTAGTTCTCATGTGGACCGGTCAGCCGGGTGCAGGTTCAGAACGAAGAGGAAGTACTTTAACAAGAATTTTTATCTGCTATTGACTGCTTCTATTCCTAATGCTGTGTGTCTACTTCTTAATAACCATTAATAAATGTGTTGAAAACACCATGTGCTCAGCCCGGGGATAGGTATGCTGACAAAACCACCATAGGCGAGAAAATTATTTTCTTGTTGGGGTAGTAAGACACTGATATGAAAACATTTGATAACAATAAAGAGCGTATAACAATGTACCAAGTGAATGGTAGAATGTACGAGCAAGGACGTTGGTGTTTGCAAGGGACGGGACCCAAATCAAGTTCACCAAGGCAAGGGGATGTCCATCTTACCATAGGAGGACAGGGAGTTCTGGGCTCTGGGCTGGCTAGAACTAGGTGTTTGAAGATGCAGACTCTCTTTTTCCACTCTCACCTCTCCTTCTGTTTACATGTCAACCTAGCATCTCACATCAGCTTTCTCCATGAGGATACAACCAACACCACCCTGAGCCTCAAAGTCCCCATCCTCCTGGCATCATTGTCAGGAAGGCACTCCACTTAGTTCTAATTTCAAATTAGTTTTAATTTAAAAATCTCTGGAAAGGAGCCTAATTGAATTACTTAGGGTACATTCTTAAACCTGTGGCTGAGACTGGTGGCGGGGCATGGAGGGAAGGGGTGTTTTGAATGGCAACCTCGTTTGGAATTAGCTTAGAGCTGTGTTGTCATCATAAATTTTGATAATGTAATTCCATTTTTAAAACAGAACTTTGAGTTCTGCTTTTTCCTAGCTCTGTTTTCTTTTAGCCTGTTAATCCTGCTCAGGGCAGGTGGTATGCTGAATACCTGTTAGGGGCAGCAGGTGGAGAGGGCCAGGCAGGTGCCTGAAAGGTTTGTGTCCAAATGGAAACTACAAGGAAGCTGGGCCTCCATTAAACTTTCTTAGGGGCTGGGGAGGGAAGACAGCAACTCTGTTTTCGGTTTTTGTATGTCTTGAGGTATTTTCCGATTTCCCTATTGACTTCTCTTTGACCCAATGGTTGTTCAAGAGTGTGTTGTTTGTAGATTAATGATACCAAAAAAAAAAAAGTGTGTTGTTTGATTTCCATGTACTTGTTGTTTTTCTTTTTGTTACTGATTTCTGGTTTTATTCCATTGCGGTTGGAAAAGATACTTGGAATGATTATAGTTTCCTTAAATTTGTTAGGATTTGTTCTGTAGCCTAACGTATGGTCTAACCTAGAGAATGTTCCATGTGCACTTGAGAAAAATATGTATTCTGTTGCTGTTGGGTAGAATATGCTGCATATACCTGTTGGGTCCATTTGGTCTATAGTGTTGTTCAAGTCTTCTGTTTTCTCATTGATTTTCTGTCTGGATGATCAATCCATTATTGAAAGTGGGATATTAAAGTCCCCTACTATTATTATATTGCTGTCTGTATCTCCCTTCAGATCTGTCCATGTTTGCATTTTATATTTAGGTGCTCTGATGTGAATGCACATCTATTTATAATTGTTATATCTTCTGGAAAATTGGCCTTTTTGTCATTAGGTAATGACCTTCTTTTCTCTTGTGACAGGTTTTGACTAAAAGTCTGTGTTTTTCTGATTTAAGATTAGCTACCCCTGCTGTCTGGGGTACCATTTGCATGGAGTATCTTTTTCTATATCTTCACCTTCAGACTGTGTGTGTCCTTGAACCCGAAGTGAGTCTCTTGCAGATGGCATATAGTTGGATTTATTTTCTATCCATTCATCCACTCCACAGTTTTTGATTGGGATATCAGCTCCGCCAACTCACTGTCTGCACAAGCATAGACCCGCTCTAGGCCGTCAGGGAGGATGTGGCCTGAGCACCACAGAATGCCAAGGATGTTAGAGGAGCCGACCTGGCTGCTGAAGCTGGCCTGAGAGATCAGGCACAGTCCAGGAGGAGGACACTTAGTAAGGCTTGTAGATGGAGCGCTTAATTTCTATGAAGTTTTGTTCCTCCCAGTAAATAACATGTCATGTAGACACATTTGCTCACCTTAGGTAGTACTAAATATAATTTGTTCATTCAGAGCTCTCAGGATAGAATATGTGTGCCGAAATACTTTATGATGCAAATAATTTATTTGGATAACTGACCCAATGACTTTAAGTATTAGTTAACCCAAAGATAATAAATATAAACTGATCAACTAAAAAAAAGTATTGAGACTTCTAGCTTCTGATAATGATGAAGTAGCTTACATCAGACTAATCCTGCTGGCATAAACATTACAAATCTGGACAGAACATAATAAATGGGTGTTTGAAGACACTGGAGAGTGACCCATAACAGGGAGAATCTAAAGAGGATAAGACTTTTAAAGAAATGCTCATTATCTCTTGTTGATCAGGATTTTCCAGTATTAAATGGCAAAAAGTCCACTGACCACTCCTATTCCCCAGCCCCCTTTTCCTGCTAACATACCTCCGTTGGTTTAAGTAGCAGCTAAATAGTAGTCACTAGTGTCAAGGGGGAGGAGTCCTAGGCTGAAATAATCTTATTTTGCTTAAGAAAATGAAGTAATGTCAGTTTCCTCAGCCTGTGATTGGGCTATAGGTGACCACATGACCTCAGTTCTGGTCAATGACATCTAAGTGGAAATCTAAGTGGGAGTTCCAGGAAGGATTCTTCTTTCCTGATAAAGAGGGCCATGCGACTCTGCCCTTTGCCCTTTCCTATCATTGTTCCTTCCATGTGGCATGATGCTGATGCCAGAGGATGCATCTGCCATATTGGGACCACTGGGTAACACCCCTGGAGAGTAAAGGTGCAGGAAAGAAAGAGTAGAATACCTGGATGCATCATTCTGCAGCAGCACAGGCTGGAGTCATCTTCCTCTGAACTCACCTGATACAGGTCAATCTCTATCTGTTTAAGTGCTGTGATGGGCTTCTCTTTATTTGCAGCTGAAAGCTTTCCTTACATACACCTGAGAGCGTGGGGTGAGTCCAGGTGGCACACGCGTCCCAGGATCTGGGCCCACCCACCACCAGGGCTTCTGCTTCTCCTGAACCCATAACCCTCTGCAGTTCTGGGCTCACACATTCCTGCACTTGTGCTATGGAAGCCCAGTGCTGTGTGCCACTCATAGAATGACAGAAATAAGCATTCCATGGCATCCATGGTCTGGCTCTGCTTGGCCTGCTGGTCCTACAGTTCACGCAAACATCATCTCCAGGTGCTCCCTCAGCCCCAGGAGAGTGTGTGGGGTTACAGCAGCTCTGAGGCAAGGGGCTCAGGAGACATACAGGAACTGAGGTTTTGGGGTCTAGGTCTACCTCACCGTCAGGTGGTAAGCCCAGTTCCTTAGCATGCTTTGAACCACCAGTGAAGGATTCTCTGGCTGCAGCCTGGGTCCCTGCTGATCATATGCTGTAGCATATGACCTAGTGAAGTGATACCTGTCACTGCTTCTAAGGATATAGCCACCTCTTAACTTTTCCTCTGAAAAGTAACCCTTGCCACACCCATCAGAACATGGTCTTAGAAGCATAGTGTCCAGCCAATGGCCAACCATCCTGTCCTCTTGTTAATGACTTTGGGAGCCTCACTTATCTCTTGGTTGAGCTGACCTAACTGCTATAACAGGAGGAATCCTGAAGTGGTCACCAGCCCCATACAGTTGGCAGGTGACTCCCACTCCAAGGGTCCTGCCAGGGTGTGTTTGGTTTTTGCTAGAGCAACTCAGAATATTCCACTCTCTTGGGACCAGGGTGTGGGTGGATATGCCTAGGAGTGGCCTGACAGAACTTTCTGGAGTGTTGGGGATGTTCTATGTCTTCGTTTAGCTGATGGCTACAGAGGTGCACCTGAGTAAAAATTCACTAAGCCGTGTACTTAAAATCTGTTTAATTTACTGTATGTTTTACCTCACTAAAATGTTTATGTTTTTAAAACTTAAAGCACAGTGGAATGTAATGGAAGCCCACCCGGTCTGCACAAATTGTCGGAAAGACCACAAGTTGGCCATTGCTGTAGGTGGCCCACAGCAGCATTGAGAAGCTCATGGTCCAGCCGCCCAGTGCCTGCAGCCAGGCCAGAGGGCTGGGTGCTGGGGGCGTGTGGGCCCATGGACAACAGCAGCCCCGCCACTGCCTGTGTGGAAAGCAACACCAGAACTGACACGGGCCAATGCAGAGGCTCCATGGGAGTGACTGCCAAGATCCGGGGTCACTGACGGGGCTGCTCTCTCCACCCCTGGCAGGTAGCATGATGAGGAGACACAGCACGTTCCAGGCAGGGTAAAGGGCCCGCTGCTGATCCCTCGGGAAACTGAGAGCATGGAGCAACCAGGGAGCTGGAGAATAAACACGGGGCAGCCATACGCCAACACCCCCTTATGCGCAGATCCGAG